CTGCAATGAGGTAATGCTCACCTGACTCTGAAGAGGGTGGGGGAGAGGGGCAAAGCCAAGAAGAAAGAAAGGACATGATCAAAGGGAGAGACATTTTCCCATGCTCCCTCTCTTCCACCTACATCTACAGACACCATCACCACCAAGCAACTGAACCACTGATCAAAGAGGAGAGCCTGGCTGGAGAGCCAGACTGTGGGACATTGAAAGTGTTAAGATCAGCTTAGAATGCGTTTCGCTTTTATTTCATTTTACCAAATCTGACTTATTATGCTTTGACTTATAATCACTTAAATCTACCTTTATAGTTAATAAATCTGTTTGTTTATTCTACCTGAAGCAGTGCATTTGGTTTGAAGTGTGTCAGAGACTCCCCTTGGGATAACAAGCCTGGTACATATCAATTTCTTTGTTAAATTGACCAACTTATATAAGCTTGCAGTATCCAGTGAGCATAACTAGACACTGCAAGACGGAGGTTCCTAGGTTTGTGTCTGGGACCGGAGACATTGGCTAGTGTCATTCGGTTACAAGTAGCTGGGAGCAGCTTACATGCCAGAGGCTGTGCGGGAACAGCCCAGGAGTGGGGGTTCTCACAGCAGAGCAGGGTAAGGCTGGCTCCCAGAGTCAAGGATTGGAGAGGCCTAGCAGATCACCGGTCCAGACAACACCAGAGGGGAACGTCACACCATATGGAATTAAATTTTTAGTAGTAATACCTACAGTTTTAACAGGTATTTCACTGTAAATATTAATGATTCTTTTGCTTAATACACATGTGTGAGTGTGTATTTGTTATTGGAAATCTAAGAGAGTTCATGTGTACTGTTGTTTTCTTTTTACTCTGATACTAATTTTACATAAGCCACAAAAGGCTTGAAAGTTTTGAATGTGTAAAGAGAGCCTGGCTGTGAGGCAGTGGCAGGGGCAGCTCATTTGGCCTCTGTCCCCAGCAGCAGAGCCCGGGCAGGGAGTGGGCCGCTGCTGCCTCAGAGCCAAGCTTTCTCAGGCAGAAGCAACTCTGCCACGCTCTGCGCCCGGCTGCCATGGAGAGCGACTGAACATAAGAACGGCCATACTGGGTCAGACCAAAGGTCCATCTAGCCCAGTATCCTTCCTGTCTTCCAACAGTGGCCAATCCCAGGTGCACAGAGGTAATGAACAGAACAGGTAATCATCAAGTGATCCATCCCCTCTCGCCCATTCCCAGCTTCTGGCAAACACTGGCTAGGGACACCATCCCTGCCCATCCTGGCTAATAGCCATCAATGGACCTATCCTCCGTGAATTTATCTAGTTCTTTTTAGAACCCTGTTATAGTCTTGGCTTTCACAACATCCTCCGGCAAGGAGTTCCACAGGTTGACTGTGTTTTGTATGAAAAAATACTTTTGTTTGTTTTAACACTGCTGCCTATTAATTTCATTTGGTGGCCCTTTGTTCTTGTGTTATGAGAAGGACTAAATAACATTTCCTTATTTACTTTCTCCACACCAGTCCTCTATCATATCCCCCATTAGTCATCTCTTTTCCAAGCTAAAAGTCCCAGTCTTATTAATCTCTCATATGGCAGCCGTTCCATACCCCTAATAATTTTTGTTGCCCTTTTTTGAACCTTTTCCAATTCCAATATATCTTTTGAGATGGGGCGACCACATCTGCAGGCAGTATTCAAGATGTTGGCGTACCATGGATTTATATAAAGGCAATATGATATTTTCTGTCTTATTATCTATCCTTTTCTTAATGATGCCCAACATTCTGTTAGCTTTTTTGACTGCCCCTACACATTGAGTGGACGTTTTTAGAGAACTATCCACAATGTCTCCAACATCTCTTTCTTGAGTGGTAACAGCTAATTTAGACCTCATCATTTTATAGATATAGTTAGGATTATGTTTTCCAATGTGCATTACTTTGCATTTATCAACATTGAATTTCATCTGCCATTTTGTTGCCCAGTACACCCAGATTTGAGAGATCCTTTTGTAGCTCTTCGCAGTCGGCCTGGGACTTAATTATCTTAAGTAGTTTTGCATCATCTGTAAATTTTGCCACCTCACTGTTTACCCCTTTTTCCAGATCATTTATGAATATGTTAAATAGGACTGGGCCCAGTACAGACCCCCGGGGGACACCATTATTTACTTCTCTCCATTCTGAAAACCGATCTTTTATTCCTACTCTTTGTTTTCTATCTTTTAACCAGTTACCAATCCATGAGAGGACCTTCCCTATTATCCCATGACTGCTTACTTTGCTTAAGAGCCTTTGGTGAGAGACCTTGTCAAAGGCTTTCTGAAAATCTAAATACTGGATCCCTCTTGTCCCCCCCTTGTTGACCCCCTCAAATAATTCTAGTGGATTGCTGAGGCATGATTTCCCGTTACAAAAACATGTTGAGTATTCCCCAACAAATTATGTTTATCTATGGCCTGGTCTACACTAGCAGGTTATGTCGAATTTAGCAACACACAACAAAGCTATTTAGTTTGACATAGAGGTCTCCTAAATTCGACTTCTGTACTCCTCCCCAACGAGGGGAGTAGCGCTAAATTCGACATGGCCATGTCGAATTAGGCTAGGTGTGGATGGAAATCGACGGTAATAGCTCCTGGAGCTATTCCACAGTGCACCACTCTGTTGACGCTCTGGACAGCAGTCCGAGCTCGGATGCTCTGACCAGACACACAGGAAAAGCCCCAGGAAAATTTGAATTCCTTTTCCTGTCTGGGCAGTTTGAATCTCATTTCCTGTTTGGATATCGTGGCAAGCTCAGCAGCACTGGCAACGATACAGAGCTCTCCAGCAGAGATGGCCATGCAATCTCAGAATAGAAAGAGGGCCCCGGCATGGACTGATCGGGAAGTCTTGGATCTGATCGCTGTGTGGGGCAATGAGTCCGTGCTTTCGGAGCTGCGATCGAAAAGACGGAATGCAAAGATCTACGAGAAGATCTCCAAAGCCATGACAGAGAGAGGATACAGCCGGGATGCAACGCAGTGCCACGCGAAAATCAAGGAGCTGAGACAAGGCTACCAGAAGACCAAAGAGGCAAACGGACGCTCCGGATCCCAGCCGCAGACATGCCGTTTCTACGAGGCACTGCATTCCATCCTAGGTGCGGCCGCCACTACTACCCCACCACTGACCGTGGACTCTGAGCATGGGATATTGTCCACGCCCGCTTCCTCTGAGATGGTAGTGGACGGGGAAGATGAGGAAGGAGATGAGGAGGATGAGGCAGTCGACAGCGCTTACAACGCTGATTTCCCAGACAGCCAGGATCTCTTCATCACCCTCACAGAGATCCCGTACCAACCGACCCCAGGCGTTAACCCGGACCCAGAATCAGGGGAAGGATCAGCCGGTAAGTGGTTTAAACATGTAAACATTTATTTATAAACAGAACATTAACTGTGGTTTTTCATGATTAGATTGTCCTAGGCACTTAAAGTTGTGCAACTGCTGCAAAAAAAATCTAACAATGTCC